CTGCTGAATTCCCAGGTCTTATCCCTGGAAACCAAATGACTTCCCCACCACAGAGGCCCGTGTCTCCCGCACGCCTGCCTGGTGTGCTGGGCAGGGGTCTGCCTGACGGCTCAGCGTGAGGAGCCAGCTGCACCGTGCCCCGCCCTGGCATGCTGACCTTACTTTACGGTCTGGAACTATGTAAAGGGAGAGGCTCTCTCTGGCCACATCCTGGAAAGCCCCAGCTTATCAGCTGTTATGTTTTTCTGTGCAAATAACCCTCCTGCACACCTGCTGTTCCTGATTCAGGGATGAGGGCTGTGTCTCTCCTTGAGAGTCGACTGTCAAGACATCACAGCGTATGTGTGACACAGAGCAAAAGTGGCTCTAGCTGCGAAATACGAGAAAGGCCTGTCCTTTCACAACCTCTGTGTCCCACCCTGGGGCTTGCTGGGATCTTCATGGAGGAGGGGAGGGGAGGGATGGGCACGGCTGTCAGAAAGGGCAGATGGACAGACAGGCAAACTGGAGCTCCCTCTCCCCCTCCTCTCTCTCTCTCTCCTCCTCACTTTACCGAATAGCTACTGTAAGGTGGGGGGTGGGAATGAAGGGGTAATAGTGGTAAGGAATGAGCTTGTTTCTTCAGGAGGAGCAGTCGGTGAGTTTCTGGAGGGTTCCGGCTGAGTCCATGTCCACAGGCCCAGCTGGTGGGCCGGGGTCCAGCAGTGAGTTTCCGGTGTGTTCTCAGGACGAAGTCCCTCTTGTCCGTCAGGCCTGTCGTTCCCTGCTTGCGTCTCCCTACCCTTTGAGCCTCTGTCTTTGTGATCTGGGTTTTGCTTATCCAATGTTTTTGGAGTTTATTCATTTGCTTCTTCCATGCATTAAAGAGACAGAGAGAGGGATAAAGCATCCCCTTTGGGGTGCTAGCCCTTCTCCTCCACTTCTCCATCCTGCTGGGATTTGGGGCACACATGCCTTTTTGCTTTTTTTCTTATTTATTTATTATTTTAGAGATCTTTGCTATAGGGTACCTCTGTTTGCTGGGGAAACAGAGACAGAAAGCAAGAAATCACCCCCCTGGGAGAATGGCCATGCCACAATCCCTTCTCCTCTGTTCTCCTCTTGGGATTTTGGCTACATGCGCACACATGCCTGGTATGAGTTTCAGGTTACCAGGTCTGAGACTTGAACCACTGTCAATCACGTGGGAGTCCAGTGCCTTAACCACTAAGCCACTTGCTGGTCTTACCTTTTTGTTTTTTCAATCCATGGAGGCGGGGATTCGAACTGTGGTCAGCCACATGGGATCCAGGTCCCCTTACCATTATGCTATGGGCTGACCCTCCCAGAGAGTCTCGACACCCTGCGCATCAGCCTGCCTTGGGCCGTAGGCATGCTCAGGCTATGTCCTCAGGGCGGTCTCCGATGAGTGCCTGGAACCTTCGACGTGGGTCAGCCTCGTGGCGAGTTGGTTTTATAGCTGTGCCACTGTCTGGTCCCTGCGGTCTGGGTCTTCATACCCTCAGCCTCCTTAAACCCTCATTTCACTCTTCAGTCCAGAATCTCTCCTCTAACTTTCTTATTTTGGCCTCAAGGCCCCCTCCATCCCATTGAACTCCTGTCGTGCTGGACTTCCAAGAACCTGGCTATGCCTGAAGTTGCAGGCTCAGGCATCTCTCCATCAGTCTCGGCTCTCCAAGACCCTCTGGAGGGCCGGGTCTCCTCTGCTCACAACTTCCCACCAGGCGAGGAGGCTGGGTTAAGGCTGCCAGACCCAGCGGGTCTGTGTCTGCAATCCCACGAGACAGAAGGAGCTACAAGGTTCTCTTTTTAGAGAGCCCATTACAGCTCTGGGCAGGAGGGATTTCTCAAAAGACTCTCATGATCACCATGGCTTCTTGTGTTGCTAACTGCCTTGAAATTTCACCCATCCCACCTCCTTCCTCTTTTAGTGTAATTCACAGCGGGAAGTGGCTGAAGGAGGAAGTGTGAGAGCGAGAGTGAGTGAGCAGGAGGCTGGGAGATGAAGGACTGGCCGAGTGGGGTCCGTCCGTAGCTGGTCCTTGCTGACGGCCCACCACAGGGCCCAGCCGAAGAGAACATGCACCTGCTGCCGCTGCTCCCCCTCCTCTTCTGGCTCTCAGGTGAGTGGGGCTGGGTCTGTCCGGCCAGGACAAGTCTAACCAGCAGGAGGAAGTGGCCACAGAGGGAGGAGGGGGCCCACGGAGAAGCTGTCCTGACGGGTGTGAGCCAGTTTCACCCACTCGCCGAACCACTCAGCACCTCAGCACTGAGAGTTTCCAAGACAGAAATACCGACAGTGACCAGCACAGTGACTGGCCTCCAGGGCTGATGGTCTTCACAGTGGGCAGACCAAGGGGCCTCACTGGCCAGCGGAAGTTGAAGGACCTGGTTACTTAGACCCTGGACTGGACTGTTACTGCTGGGAACGTGTTGTGAGCAAGGGAGGGACTTTGAAGGAAGGAAAGAGGGAGTTTGGCAGACAGGGAGAGGGTCGATTCTTGGCATTTATGCTGCTGAGGGCTGCAAAGGTCAAGAGAGGTAAGGCTGGTCAGAATGAAGAGGAAATGGGTCCTGAGACCGAGGGTCAAAGTGGCCTAAGTTGATAGGTACTACTTTGATTAAAATGAAGGGGTTTTAAAAAAAAGATTTTAAAAATTTATTTCTCCCATGAGCAAGAGAGGCAGAGAGAAGAAGAGAGAGGGTGTGAGCGAGCACCCCTACAGGATTCCGATGCTGTGACCCACCCGTCTGCAGCCAGCCCCAGATCATGGGGAAGTGCGTGCCAGCTTTAAGGAGGTCTCTGGACTTGAACTGGGAACCTCGAAGGGGATGTTCTTGCTTTGAAGTGTTGGAGAACCCTAGGACTCAGCTCTTTGGCTTCTTATTTAGCTAGTCATTCTATTATTGCTTTCGCCTGCTCTTTTGGCTTGACATGTCTGTCACCTGCGCAGAGGGCGGCCAACCTCGGTTCCCTGCCTGGGCGTCTTGCAGAACTCCAGAACCCTGTAGCTCACCACCTAGCCGACACCTCCACGCAAGTGCTGACACTGCAAATGTGACCTCGAATCCTTTCTCCCTGGCTCCCCCACCTTTGCATTTGGCAGCCCCATATTTCTAGATACTCAGGCAAAACCTGGGGGTACTCATCTCTTCTTACCTCATAATGATTCTTTGAAAAGCATGAGCTCAGGGCCAGCAGGTGGCATGGTATTTAGGATGCTAGATTCCCATATAGCTGACCATGGTTCAAGTCCCCGACCTGGGGTTTGAAAATGGCAACAAATAAATAGATGAATAGTTTTTTTTTTTTTTAAAAGTAAGAAGAGAAAAACCATGAGCTCCATCACTTCACTCTTCTGGTCCAAGCCCTATACTTAGAGGGTTTGGACCAGCTCAGAGTTTAAAATCCAAAGTCCTTACACAGGGTACCGGGTGCCTGCAGTCTGGCTGCATCATCTCCCTGACCTCTTCTCCATTTGGCTTAACCCCTGCCACCCACACTGGCCTCCTGAACGTTCTTGAATGTTCTGGGCACGCTGACCTCAGGCCCTGGGCTTGTTCCTCTGCCCAGGCTCTGTCCCTCCATCCTCTGTGTCTTGTCTTCTTCATGAGGCGTTAGTTGATGACCTTAATTACAACTGAAATTCCTTTGTGTTATTCCTTTCCACGTTCTGTCCTGTCTTCTATAAAGTACGAGGCTTCAGGAGGGTGGGGATTTTTTTTGAAAGAATCATTTATTTATTTAATTCCATTTGTTATCATTATTATTTTTTAATTTGACCAGAGGGAGAGAGAAAGGGAAAGTGAGAAAGTAAGCCACCAGGTCCGAAACTCGAACCACTATTGGCCATGCAGGAATCCAGTGCCCTTAACCACCACACCACCTGCCAGCCCTCAGGGTGGGGATTTTTGTGCCTACAAATACACCAGGTACTAATTGGGCAAATTGTATAAATTGAACAAAGAAATATATTCAACAGAGAGGGAATGATGCGACTGTAACGTCCCCCAGTCTTTTTCTTTCTGTTTTCATAAAGCTGCTCTATTCAGATTTAAAATGAATCGGAGAGGATCCGTGGCTGATGGGAGCATAAAAATGGTGCAACCACTTCAGAAAACAATTTGGCAGTTGCTCAAAATATTATTTCTAAGATAAAGCTGTAATTATGTATTTGTTTATTTAATACCAGAGAGAGAGAGAGGGAAAGCTCCCTTAATGGGGCCTTTTTGGTCACACCACCGTCCTTTTGGTCTGATCTGTTCCATCAGTCATAGAAACAAAACATCATTTCAACAAGCGGTAAGTTCCACGAGGCAGAGATGACGTGACACGGTGGGACTCAGGCTTTAGGTAGGGAGGCCGGGTGGGCCCCTCTGAGCAGGAGACCCCGAGGGAAGACCTGGAGGACAGGAAGGAGCCGGCACTCAGGATGGGGGAAGCTTTCCAGGCACCAGGAGTAGCAAGAACAAGGGCTGTGTGGGAAGAGCTTCGCCCTGTCACATTTGAGGAACGGAAAGGTCAGCGAACCTTGCCACATGCTTTAGCACTGTCTGCAGGCAGGGCAGGAGGATATGAGCAGTTCTTTGGGGGTAACGTCTTCTGGGGGGCAACCATCTTGTCCAGGGCTGCTGGACGACAGGGCCGCTGGACGAAGCTGGCCAAGGCAGAGCGGGGAGTGGCCCTGCGTGCTCAGCCTCGAGGGTCAGCACACAACAGAGAAGGTAGACCTTGGGCCAGATGTCCCCACACGGCCTGGCGAGGCAAGGAAAGCACAAGACTGGTTTCCTCTGACATCTGGAACAGGAAACGTGCTGCCCTCAGACCTGAGAGCCTGCTGCCGTGGGGTGCAGTGAGTGTGTCTGTGTGGGCCGGGTGTGGCCGAGGCAGACAGGAGGACTGCACAGCAGTGGGCAGGACGTGAGCAGGAACCCGCCACCAGCGTGGCCCCTCTGTGCCAGCTCCCAGCAGCCTCTCCGTGGCCCTCTCGGTCACAGCGACACACGTGCCTGGCGCTGCTGCTCCCCTCTGGCACTCCTGGTTTTAGCTACGCAGGAAGAAAATGCGAACCAGAACTTCTCACTGGGCTTTATAGCATTCTTTTTTCTTTCTTTTATTTTATATTTTTTTGTGAGAAAGGAAAATATTTTAAATTGTGCTATTTTTAATTTAAAATTTTAAAGAATTACTTATTTCCTTTTGTTTATTGCTACTATTATTAGTTTTAAAATTTTCTATAGGACACATGTGCTTATGAGAGAGAGAGAGAGAGAGAGAGAGAGAACGGACACTACCGGAACTCAGGCTATGGTCGAGATGTGGCAGTCCGGTGTCTTAACTACCGTGCCACACGCTAGCCCCTGTATTTTATCTTTATATTGCCTGAGGGTTCATGCGTGAGAGGAAACCCCCCCCAAAGGGGTGTGATTGTGCTCCATTTCTCTGCCCTGTCAGGGTAGTAGGTGTGCACACACACGTGCCCAATGTGTTTCTCAAGGGGCCAGGGCTGGGCTTTGAACCGCAGTCAGCCCTGTGGGATCTGGCTCCCGAAGCATAGCTCTTCCACACTACAAAAGGGGCCTGGCCCTATGCTAGATTTTTTTTTTTTTTAATTCAAAGGGGTGTGATTGTGCTCCATTTCTCTGCCCTGTCAGGGTAGTAGGTGTGCACACACACGTGCCCAATGTGTTTCTCAAGGGGCCAGGGCTGGGCTTTGAACCGCAGTCAGCCCTGTGGGATCTGGCTCCCGAAGCATAGCTCTTCCACACTACAAAAGGGGCCTGGCCCTATGCTAGATTTTTTTTTTTTTTAATTTAAAGATGCATTTAATTTTATTTAATATTATTATTGTTTTAAATTTTGCTATGGGCCGTGTGTGCTCACCAGAGAGAGACACCGACACTGGAGGAGGAGGTAGGTGGCCAGGTGGTCTAACAGTGCAACTGAGGGTGTCGCACCTGCGACAAGGCACAGCACCCGGTTAGGGCTCCGGAGGCCAGGTGTGCTGAAATCGGGGCGCTGGCTGGGATGGCTTCCTCTAAGACTCTAGGGGAGGAATCCGTTTCCTTCACTGAGCCAGCTCCCAAGGGCCACACCTCGACCCGCTTTCCACGACATCTACGGGAGCTAAGAACACACGCAGCCTTTTGAAGAAAGATGAGATTTCAAGCTTTCTCTCATTAATTATGAAAAAATATTTTCTGCATTACTAAGACACCATTAAGCTAAATATTCAAAGAAATAGTTGAAAATTCTTCATAGGAAATAAATGTGCATCTGAAAATTGTTACAGAAAATAAAACTGAAGACAGGGAGGAAGCCCCTTAAAAAACTTGATTTGATTATAGACAATATCAAAAATATAAAGATGTTTTATATTTATTTTTATTTTAAAAATTTTACTCTAGGGTGTGTGCACTTGCCAGAGACAGAGAGAGAGAATGCATCTCCCGGGAGGGATGGCCATGCTATAGTCCCTCAGCCTCTATCTTCCTCTCTGGACTTTGGGCACACATGCACACATGCCTGGTGTGTTTTTCAAGCCACTAGGTCCAGGACTCAAACCACACAGTGGGCCATGTGAGATCCAGTCACTGTAAACACTGGCATTATATTTTAACTAAAATGAACACACTACACATCAAAACTTACAGGACATTGGCTAAAGCGGTATTCAAAAGGAAAATTTGGGGAAAAACTCAGGCAGTTTTCTCCCAAATTAAACCCAGAGTCATTATATGACCCCCATGGTCCCTCTGAGGGATATACCCAAGAGAATTGCTACTGGTGCCCATGTCAAAACCGGCATATAAATGCTCATGGAAGCATTAGTCTCAATAGCCAAAAGGTGGAAGCAATTGAGCAAAATGTGGAATAGCCATGCAATGAACTATCAGCCATAACAAGGGATGAAAGACCAATACATTCTGCAACCTGAATGAAGCTTAAACACACCAGTGAAAGGGGCCGGCAGGTGGCATGGTGGTTAAGGTGCTGGACTCCCACATGGCCGACTGCAGTATGAGTCCTAGACCTGGAGGCTTGCTTTCTCACTTTCCTTATCTCTCTCTCTGGTCAAATTAAAAATGGTAATCATAGGGACTAGCAGATGGCATAAAGGTTATGTTGCTGGACTCCCATGCAGTTGACCACAGTTCAAGTCCTGGACCTGGTGGTTTAAACCACATGCTTGGCACATGTGTGTGTATGTCCAAAATTCCGAGAGGAGAATGGAGGAGAAGGGATTGTGGCATGGTCATCCCCCTAGTGGGTGATTTCTCACTTTCTGTCTCTCTCTGCCTTTCCAGTGAGTGCATGTGCCCGATAGCAAAAATCTCTCTCTCTCAAAAAAATAATAGTGATAAAATTAAATAAATAATCTTAAAAAAATACACAAGTGAAAGAAGTCACATACAAAAGGCCTTATGCCACGTGAGTCTGTTTATACGAAATGTGCAGAAGAGGGAAATTCATGGAGACAGAGAGCAGATTGTGGGTTATCAGGGCTAGGGGCAGGGGACGGGGGAGTGACTACTAATAGGCATGAGGCTCCTTTTTGGGGTGATGAAAATGTTCTGGAATTAGATCGTGGTGATGATTGACCAACTTTGTAAAGGTCCCAAAGCCCACTGAGTTGTGAACTTTAGAAGAATGACATTTGGGGACCAGCAGTTGGCGTAATGGGTATGTCACTGGCCTCCCATGTAGTCAGCTGCGGTTTGAGTCCCGGGCCCGGTGGCTTAAACTCACACTGGGCGCGTGTGCGTGCGTGCCCAAGATCCCGAGAGGAGAATGGAGGAGAAGGGATTGCGGCGTGGCCATCCCCCCGGGGGGTGATTTCTCGCTTTCTGTCTCTCTCTGTCTTTCTGGCGAGTGCATGCACCCTATAGCAAAAACCTCTCAAAAAAAAAAAAAAGAGATATTAAAAATGTAATGATAAAAGGATACTTTTTAACATTCACATTATATGCTAATATATACTCCATGAAATAGAAAACTTTCTGGGTAAAAAAACCCAAGTTGGCCCAGACGGCGATACAGTGGTAATAGAGTGGGGCCCACGTGGGACGGTCCTCGGTCCGTATCCGGGGGCCGCCCGCTACATGCTGGGCACACACGTGTTTGTCTGTGATCTGGGCAGGCTGGGCTGGGGTGGACCTCAGCGTGACGACCCAGTTGGGGGTGCCTGTGGTAGGAAAAATAATAAATCGACATAAACAAAAACTAAAACCAAAAAGACTGAGAGAGTAAAATTGATTCAAGAACAAGGGAAAAACCCAAATAGACGAATAACTACAGGAGAACAAATGTTAGCTTATTAAGGAATTTGCCCTCAGAAGGGCTCTATTGCCAGGTAGTTTGTAGATAAGTTTTTGAAAAATCCTTTGGCATGTTTATGCCCTGGCTCTGACGGAAGTGGGCCAAATTCATTTAGTCAAACAGCATATCTCTCCTATCAAACATTGACCAGCACTTACAGAGAAGAGCCTCCCGCAAAAAAAAATGCGGATCTGGAACTGTGCCCAAACAGCCAGATTCACCCAGAAATGGGGTTTGGGTGACCCACTCTGTATTTATTGCTGTTGTTTCTGTTCCTTTGAGAGATTTTTGCTATAGGGCACTTGCGCTCAACAGAGAGACAGAGAGAAAGAAGGGAGACATCACCCCACCCAAGGGGAATGGCTGCATCACAATCTCTTCCCCTCCATTCTCCTTGGGATTTTAGGCATGCATGCACACATGCAAAGTGTGAGTTTCAAGCTGCTGGGTCCAGGACTCGAACCGTGGTTGATCACGTGGGAGACCAGCACCTTAATCACTATGGTACCTCCTGGCTTCTACTGTTGTTGTTTCTAATTAGCCGGTATTTGAAAACCCAAGAGACGAGCCAGAGTGGTGGTTAAGGTGTCCAGGTCCCACGTGGCTGAGCACGTGGTTTGAGTCTCAGACCCACTGGTTTGAACAGTATGCTGTGTGTTTGTGCGTGCCCAAAATCCCTACAGGAGAGGGAGAGATGGAGGAAACATAAAATAATATTTTCTGGCTAAAAAAAAAAAGGCTACACACGAAATCAGATGTAGATGTCTGGCTACTGTGTGAAAATGGAAAGACCTGCAGCCCCAAAGCCCACTTCTTGCACAAGAACTGTGACAGCAGGGGATGCGGCCATGCCTGCACAAGGGTCCTTGTCCCCACTCTGCCACTATCTCTGACACGGAGGCCTGGAGTCTGCTGCCACTCCTCCATCATGCTTCAAGTGTTGCTTTTCCTACAGTAAAGAAATATCTCCCTGTATCCCGAATCTTTTAAAGATGTGGAAAAAAAGACCGTGTGTGTGTGTGTGTGTGTGTGTGTGTGTATTTGTCATTTGGTGCGTGTGCTCACCGGAAAGACACACAGAGAGGGAAAGTGAGAACTTACACTCACCCCCCTAGGGGATGGCCACACCTCAACCCCTTCTTCTGCCCTCTCCTCTCGGGATTCTGGGCACACACCCAGCATGGTTTTCAAGCTGCCAGGTCTGGGACTCGAACCATGGTTAGCCATTGGGGATCCAGCTCCTGAATCACCATGGCACCTGCTGGCCCCTCAGGCCATATATTTTAAGAAAATGCTGCTTCACTGTCTCTAACACCTGCCTTACTACAAAGCTACAGTAATCAGATTGGGATTAGCAGAGGAATGGACAGCTAGGTAACGCAATGGAGTGGGAAATCCATCAATAACTCACCCATTTATCTGATAAAGGGACCAAAGCAATTGAATGAAGAAATTGGGATCTGTATAACGTGGATTCCATGGCACAGGGGGACCAGCTGGTGTGGGTGTTGTGGCTGACTTCCAAGGCCTTCATCCAGGGTTCCCTGCAGGCCCTCTGGGAACCACTGGAACTACCAGGGCAGGCTCTGGGCAGCACCTGATGTAGCTGCTCTAGCCAGGCCTCCCGAGGGTCAAAGCAGCCAGCATCCGCTGGGGAAATGGGTCTTCTCATAGTCCCTCCCCACCAGGTGTTTGCAAAGGACACCCCATGACCCACACGGATCACACCAGCCAGAGGGAGGTGTGGGAAGGTGTGGGAGACTTACAGGAAGCAAGTCAGGGTCGTGTTTGTTTCTTGGGGGTCTAGTCATGCTCCTCTGGGACTTTGCTGCCAGCTTTGACCCAGTGGGTTTTGAAGGGGAAAAGGTCTGTCGTGTGGAAAGTGGTTCCTTCCTTGGCTGTTAGGGGGCCCTGGATTTGGGAGCTGTTCCCAGTGTAGGAGGCTGTGGCCCTGCCCTCGGGTCGGGTGGAGGAGACAGGCAAATGGATTCGTGTTTTCCAGGCAGCTCCATCGCCGATCCAATCACCGGTCCAGCCAGAGTGAGAGGCACGGAGCAGAGCTCGCTGAGTGTGCAGTGTCGCTATGTCAGCGGGTGGGAGACCTACAGAAAGTGGTGGTGCCGAGGAGCTGATTGGAACAGCTGCAAGATCCTCATCCAAACCACTGGATCTGAGCAGGAGGTGAAGAAGGACCGTGTGTCCATCAGGGATGATCAGGAAAACCTCACAATCACAGTGACCATGGAGGCGCTCAGGAGAGATGACGCTGACACTTACTGGTGTGGGATTGAGAGAATTGGAACTGACCATGGGGTCCCAGTTGAGGTGACCGTTGACCCGGGTAAGACCTTGTGGGCGTGCGGGTGTGTCTCTCAGGGCCTACTCTATGCTAGTCCCTGAGGTCCCCTCTAGTGAATTAACTGTCACTCAGAGTGACCTGCCACCAAGGTGGTTAGCCCTGGGGTTCCATAGAACCTGACTTGCTGCGTGGGCCTGTGAGGGCCTGGGCTTTTCTGAAGGGCTTTTCTGGGCTTTTCCATGACTCCCAGGGATGCCTGAAGGATGGGATTAGCGCTTTGGGGGCACTTTTTATTTTCCTCTGCTCAGCTCAGAGCCTCAGTCCATGGACACCAAGGTGGTGGTCCCGTTTCAGCCCATGGGCCTGAGAGCCCCTCCCATGGTGTCCAGAGACCCCAACCCCTGCAGGTTTTCTGGGTTCTCTGGTGCCCAGGTGCACCCAGCTCTGGGCCTCTCTGAGCTTAGACTTCATAGCCGCTGTTCCCACCTCCTTCCATCTCCAAAGAATCCCTGCAAGGTCGGGGTGCTAGGGTCTATGTCCCGAGGTCTAGAAAGGCCTTTGCAGTCAAATGTCTGCACTCCGGGGCCTGCAGTCCCAGCACGAGCCATGTATGCCCTCAGGCTCACCAGTGCTCCTTCCTAAGTCCCTCTGGATCAGACACTGCCGGGAGGGCCCGCTCAGAGGCCCCGTGCCCTGGTGCGAGCATGTTAATCAGCCCAGCTCTGCCTCTGCGGCCTCTCAAACTGGTAGCACCTGCTCTGGGCAGTGCCACAGTCCTCAGGGCCACGGGCCACACCTGGGACCTGGAAGGGTATCTATCGATAGTTGGCAAAGGGCAGAACATCTGCGTCTCACCGCATCCTCCCCACGTCCCCAAGAAGCGTACCTGTCATTGGAGCTTCATAACTTGCTCCAAATCCAGCTCTTTCTGACTGCAGGACCTCTGTTCAGGGGTGGCCCTGACACTGAGGTCACAGGTCTCGGGGCCGCATTAGCCACCGTGTCGTTCCTGCTCTGCGCCTGTCCCTGCTGGGTAGGCAGCACCAGCGAGTGGGGATGGCGAGGGACTGTCAGAGGCATGGGACCATGTGGAGTTCAGCCGACCTCCTGCTGCCCTGTTCTGAGGCTCCTCCTGGGCCCCCTCTGAACCTTCCAGGGCCTGCTCAATGCCCTCCCTGGTCCTGCGCCTGGCCTCATTTTCCTCGAGGCTCTTGAGCCATCTAGGGCCGGGGCAACATGAGCGCCCGGCTTCAGCCCCTTTCTGTGCCACGGGCCAGGGCAGCTGCGCCCCGCAGGCGCATGTGCGGGTTGTGGGGGCGGCAGGCAGAGCAGTTCATAATCTGGTCTGTATGCCAAGCACCAACTACAGTGCCGACCACCACTCCCTCCACCTCCACCTTCACCACCACAGTGATGGCGACGGTCACCCCACGAAAGACCAAAGGCTCCCCGAATCTGAGCAGCCACCACTCCGATGACAGGTGAGTCAGCTCAGCACCTGTTTCCTGAGGCCCAACTGGCCCACATGCCTTCAGTGGAGAACCGCGTTAAGTCCCAAGTCCCAGACTTCATCATTCACTCTACTCTCACTGAGTTGCTGTCTACACAGCAGGCAGCGTGCTGAGCTCTGGGGACGAGCGATGGAGCATCCCCTGTGGAGCTCAGAGCATGGTTAGTGCGGGAGACCAAGGAGTGGGCAGTCAGGGAGGGTGGAGTGGGTGCGGGGGCACAGGGCCCCAGGGAGGCTCGTGGTCCAGCTCTGGGAGCACAGGAGGGCTGGGGGAGTGCCCAGCTGGTAGTTCTCACGTCTCTAGTGCACCTGGCAGCTCGCCAGAGGCTCCTTTGCCCACAATGTTGTTTCCTTTGCCCCTGCCTACCCCTGCCTGTGAGGGGAACAGGCCGACGTGAGTGTTCCCGATTTACAGAGGAGGAAACCGCCCCAGCTGCTCCATGCCTGGAGCTCGGGCCTGCCTCTGTGGGCTCTGCCAGCCACCTGCGGCCAGAGGTTGCTCTATTGATAGGAGCTGAGAGGTTTCTCCCCACTTCCTCCTTTCAGCTCCTCGGGCCTCTTGACTTTGTCTTTAGATCTGCCAGGCTCTCCCATTGTCAGACCCTCCCACACAATCCCTGTCAGAGATGCCCAGTCTCTCCAGCATCAGGGACCCCTCTTCTCCCCCTCTCTGCCCTGGGTTTACAACGTTTCCTGGAGGAGGTGAGTGCCAGCAAGCCCAGACCCAGAGCCTGAGCCAGAGATTGCTGGTGAAATGGGGAGATGAAGGGAGGGAAGAGGAGAGGAAGAGGGGCTGTGCCTGGTCAGGGGAGCAGCCTGTGCAAGGCCCTGTCGCACCTGAGGCGCTGAGAGCCGTCCACTGCGATGGAGCAGGAGGAGCAGCGGGGAGCTGCTGGTTTCAGAGTCGGCGGGTCTCAGATCTCAGGTCTCAGATGAGTGCTTAGGGTGCAAAGCTGACGGGGAGTGGTTGCAGGGTTAGAAGCAGCGGACAGCATTTGCTGCATTGGGCTGGCAGCAGGGAGATGGGCGAGGGCCATACGACAGGCTGAGCAAGGGGTGATGGTTTTGGGTAGTGGCCTGAGGGAGCGACCAAATTGCTAAACTCACAGCTGCGATGGGATAGAATGGGTTGGTGCTTATTTAGCTGTGGGTGGCGAAGAGGGGGATGGCTCAAACATGACTCTGAGGGGCCCGCAGGCGGCATGGGGGTTGGAGCACTTGACTCCCACATGGCCGATGTGGTTTTAGTCCCAGACTCGGTGGTTCACGTTCTCACTTTCTCTTTCTCTTGTGAACACATGTGCCGTATAGCAAATTAAAAATAAATAAGAAAAAATTCTTCAAAAAATGACTCTGAAATCTCTAGTCTAGACAAGTAGTTAGAAGGAGGGATCTTACTTGGGAGAGGGAGCCAAAGACAGAGGTTTTAGGGGACGGTGGTGAGTTCAGAGTGCTTGGTGCTTGGTGAGGGTGTCAAGGGGGTGCTTGGGCACAGGGGTCTGGAACTCCGAGGACGGTCAGAGGACATAGATCTGGGAATCTGGCACCAAGACGGAAACACCTGGAAGGTGTGGGGACGTAGAACTGAGGCAGAGAATGCCCAAGGAGCCTCTTCTCAGGACGTTAGGAGACGACTGAGGAGCAGCCAGAGAGGGAGTGAGTTCTCCGGAATCCAGGAGAGGCTGTGTCTTGTGGAGGGAAGAGATCCTGGGAACCACGGTGGGCTAGCAGGTTCTCAGGGGGCGGAGCAAGAGGAGGGCTAGACCGGTCCTTGGGCTTTCCCAAGGCGACTGCCCCCTCTGTGGGAGTGAAGGACAGAGGCCAGACCGCTCCAAGTTGTGAAAGGAGGGGTGTAGGTCCTCAAGAAGTGTAGACTGATGTGCAAAGAAATCGGACTCTGCAGGGGCGGAGAGAGTAGGGTGGAGGGGGAAGGAAGTGCTGTGAGCAGAGACGGAGAAAAGTTAAAGCCCGTAGGGGAGAGCCGGTCTGGGGGGAGCGACTGAGGTTATGACCCACACTCAGTTTTGGCATTTTGGTTAGCCTGGGCTGGCACAGGGAGGCTAAATGTGGATTCACGTACTCATCCGTGCACTGTCCACTTGTTCGTCCGGCACTCCACACAGGCGCTGCCGTAGGCCCAGGGTGCTTAGTGAGCATGGCGGACAGGAACGCCGTCCCTCCTGGTGCTTGCATTCCAGGAAGGGAACCAGCGGCCAGCAGACTGGGTACAGATCAAGCCCTTCAGCTGAGGCCGCGGCCCGGGCTATGGGAAGGAATGAAAGGCCTGCATGATCAGGGCGCATGATCAGGCGTGTAGGCTGCAGAACTGATCAGGGTGGGCTCAGGGAAGGTGGCGCTTGAGCAGAGACGCAGAGGGGAGGGAGCGAGCAGAGGTGAGCCCTGGAAGGATCGTGTTGCCAGACAAAACAGCCTCTGGCATTGGAGCTTTAAGGTGGGGCATGCCTGGAACACTGAAGGAACAGCCAGAAGCCAGCGTGACTGGGGAGGAGCAAACAGGGGAGTGTGTAAGAATGGGGGGGGGCGTGGTGGTGCTGGATAACTGGGCCTACCTGGGAAAGGTCCCGAGTTCATGCCCTAGGACTTCCCTGAGCATGCCAGTTGTGTGTGTGCCCATGAGTCTGGGCAGCTGGGACTGGGGGTGAATCGCAGCGTGAAGACCCTGCTGGGATTGCCTGCCTATCTGTCTTTAACTTGAAAGAAAGAAATAAACTTAAAAACAAAGAAATGAGGAAGGAGAGTTCAGGGGAGGGTGAGTGGAGGCCATGGCTAGCCCTGGCCTCTTTCGTGGGATGAAATGGGGTGTTGTGAGAGTTTGAGCAGAGGAAAAAAAAACTGACTCTTCATGAAAGGGATCGCCCTGGCTGCTGTGTTGATGGACCGTAGTAGCGTGTATCCGTGTCCCACGGCTGCTGTAACAAAATACCACAACGGAGTGCCTTCAGTCAGCAGAGATTTATTCTCTCACGTCTGAAACCATGCAGTTGGCAGGGTTGGTTCCCTCTTGGGGGCCCAAAGGGAGACTCGGTCTCCTGGCTGTCTCCCAGCTCTGGATGGGTGCTGGTAATTCTTGGCATTCCTTGGCTTTCCTTGGCTTATGCTGGCCAGTCTCTGCCTCTACCATCACACGACCTTTTTCCTGTGTGTGTTTATGTGCTAAATTTCTCTCTCGTAAGGACACTGGTCACTGGGTCAGGGCCCACCTGAGCTAGTATGACCCCAGCTTTCTTTTCATCGATTTTTGCCATAGGGCATAAGCGCTCACCAGAGAGAGACTGCTAGAGACAGAGAAAGGGAAAGTGAGAAGTCAGCCCCTGGAGTAATGGCCATGCCGCAATCCCTTCTCCTCCATTCTCCTGTTGGGATTTTGGGCACTCACGTATATACACTCGGTGGGGTTTTCAAGCAACCAGGTTCGGGACTTGAACTGTGGAGTTGGCCATGTGGGATGTGGCGCCTTAACTACCATGCCACCTACTAGCCTGAAGCTTACCTTAAATGGATCTGCAAAGAGGTCGTAGTCACGGTTTCTGAGTGGAACTGAATTTTAGAGTGGAGGGCACTATTCAACCCAGCAGAGATGACAAGTGTGAGAGCGGGGAGACCCGCGGGGAGCCTGTGGCCACCCCCGGGGGGGGGGAGCCTGTGGCCACACCTGGGGGGCGGAAACCCCTCTTCTTTCTGTAACCATCTCCGAGGGTGCCCTGCAGCGAGGGCTGCCAGGCTGCCAGTCACAGAGCCGAAGCTGAGCTGACGGCGGTGCCGGGCCTCCCTCTGCCGTCTGCAGGTTCAGCATCATGAAGCCCAGCATCCTGGTCCCCCTCATCTTCGCCACCCTGCTGCTTTTCTCCGTGGCCATCTCACTCTTGGTTTGGAGGAGGGCGAAGCGGCAGAAGAAAGGTGAGAGGACCTGGCCGGGGTGGGCGGGGTGGGGCTGGTGGAGGTGTTTGGCAAAGGAGTACCTCCGTGGTCTGGAAGGGGCACTGTTGCAAAGACCACCAGCAGTGGGGGCCACCTGGAGCTTGTAGGTGAGGCCAGGAGCGCTTGGCATTAGCCGGGCCTGTGCACCCTCCCTTCCTTCTCTCCTCTCCCCTGCCTCTCTGTTTCCGGGTTTGGTGTTGGCGGCAGGTCAGTCTACAGGCCAAGACACCTGGGTGGCACTTGTGTGGTTGCCAAGGAGATGCTGAGCTGATATGGGGAAAGACAGAAATACACACATGCATACTCACAGTACCTGTACACGGATGCACATGTGTATGTTTATGTGTGTACACACAAACCCTTGTGCACATGCACACATCACACACATGCGTACTCGCACCACACGGTCCTCCAGGTCAGGCCAGAGAGGTCGGTGTGGCCCCGCTGACCCACTTGCTCATGGGAACTTGCTCTTAGAGATGCGCCTCCTCTGTCAGGGATCACAAGACCTGCCCTGACCAAACCCTTTTCCTGTCTGGCTTCACTTCCACATTCTCACATGGTCTCGCCCCTCTCCCTTCTCAGAAGTGCTGGGGCCTCAGCTCTCCTGGGGCCCTCTCCAGCTCGGAGTCCTTTGGTCTGACCCTTGCTTGTCACCCTTTCTCCTGAATTACGGTCCGTGACTACATCTCAGGACATGCTGTGTCCTTGGCATCTAGACTTTTGAAACTACAAACCAGGCGGAGCGCCAAAGGGCAGAAAGAAACACTGGAAACAGCCCCCACCTTCAAACCAGTCCATATGCTGAGGGGGGCAGCTGGGGGCACCCCGTCTCTGCAGACCCCCTTGCTGACCGAGTCCCCACATACCAGGCACAGCCCCCATGGATGCCGGACAGGCCCTGCCACCCAGCAGCGCACGGCGCGCCTGGAGTCAGCCTGGACAAAGGCGATGAGACAGATGTGAAGCAAGTGCCATGAGGGCCAGGAGGGCGGGTTAGAGTCCCAGGAGCTGGGGAGGGAGTGACCCCGAAGGATGAGTCAGG